AAAAAAAAATGAGAGTTAACTGTCGAATAGGAGTTAACTCTCCACTGGAAATTAGCCAATGCCCGCTTGCATCGCTGCGCCTGATAAGACCTTTTGAGTTGGCCAATGCAAAAAGAGCGTGGAAAAGTAAATACGGGCTCTAAAGTAAAAAATCTTATTTAGGTTCAAACGACTAAAGAGCAGAATCGTGCTCACACATAGGAGAAGCATAGTATCACAGTGATACCATATGGAATACTAATCCCTTTGGATGTCATGAGCTTTACCGATGATCTTATTTCCACCTGTGAAATCTTTGCCAAGCTTGCGTCTTCTCTGATTTTGCTCTGATACGACACTGGTCCGATGCCTCAACTTTTAGTCTTATGTAAGCCAATAAAAATGTTTATAACTGAGGAGCGTTCCTGTTATAGGAGGGAAAAGAATGCTCGCTGTTTCAGAGGACGAAAAGTGTTCCCATACATTGGCTGCATGAGTCGTGAGATCTCTTGAATATCGTTCGCCATTGATATGTGTATATACCCTGTTCTTTCGCCACTTTTACCATTCCTCTAACCTCCAGGCGTCCAAGAATATATATTTATTTGATTCTATAAACCTATATCGACTATATCGATCAGAGATGTACGGCATTCTCAGTAAGTGAGTTTGCATTGTCTTTGCTTGAGTGTAAAGCTTTAAGGGCTGCCTGGCTGCCAAAGAAGAAAAATACTCGTTTGTTCTGTCAATCTTCCGTGCTGCCTCCTAAATGGCAAACACTTATTCTTGATGCGCCCGTGACGTGATGGTGTACCTAGAATATTTGAATGGTTGGTTTCTTTGAGTCTTACTGCTGCAATAACAGCCGCCCACAGTGTTCTGAAATCCAAATATACATAGGCGGACAAAACTATTTCCTCAAAGACGCTTTGACATAATTGGAAACCACTTTGCTTCAATAGGTTTGTGAGGTCGCTGAGTACGAATATGAAGTCACCTTTCAAAAATTCTAAATGGTAGATCCATTATGGCGGGCACAAAGGTAAAGAAATCAGTACGTTTTACATAACCGGGTATTTTGCGAATGTAAATTTCGAATTTTCAAATGGCAATTGATTTGGACAGACTTTTGAAAAACATTGAGTTTAGAGATGTTAGTATCAGATAAGTAGTTTTGTATAGTTACTTTACCACAAACATTTTACTGGGAAGTAAATTCTATGTTTTTGTCCCTCAGCATATAACGCCCTGTCAAAAATGAAAATTCCAGCGCCGCGTTATTGTGTATCAATATATTATTAAGAGAAGTGTAAAATTTGTTGTATCTAAAACTAATAAAGTTAGAAGGAATAAGTTCAAGGATGTGGTAGTTAACATATTAATCCTTGATATATATTTTTTTCAAAAATAAATATTGGAAATTTTCAAGGATAACATTTTCAAAGGACATTTTCAATACTTATTCGTCCTGGTGCACCAAATTTTTTTTTTTTATTCTACCGAATTTTTCCTTTTAATTGATACCCATATTGTTATTGTACAAAGCACCGAATCTTTTGAAAATTTTTTTTATTCAATAATATTCTATATTTCAAATTCCTTTAAAAAAAATCTGGTGCTTATTAAAAAAACACTTTTTTAATGCCGAATGTGCATAGGTGTCACCGGGAAATGTAAAAAGCCACTCTTTGCTTCGGCGAAAATCGGCATCGATATAAAAAATAGTGGAACAACGAGCTTGATTTTATAACACTCGCGAACAATACCTGTAAAGACTTGAGAAATAAACGAACATCTGTAAACTTCTTTACCGTACATAAAGAATAGAATAACGAATATAACTTGTGATCATTTCTTATTTCTTCCATTTATTAAGCGAATGTTATCTTTACTGTAAGTATTTGCGCACAAACCTGTATTTATTTATTTATGTGCACAATTCAGTCCGTACATGAAAAGCCAAACCGCATCATGAGTAAGTTGGACGCACTTATCTACCTTTAATAAATCGCTAACATTTATGCGAAATGAAAAAATAATGTAAGTTTTTCACCTACAGTTAAGCTACTCAAACAAATACCGATACAATATGGAATGCGATTGGCTTACAAAGTTTTCAATCAAGTTAAGAACATGTCCATTTTTAATAATACAAACGGTCCGTAGAGATTACAACATAGGAATTACAGAGTGCTTGTACAAACGACATGACAGCCGATTTAGAAAAGAATGTCAAACATTTTACACATATGGCAAAAGCTGGCAAATACCGTTCGGGTTACACTGGCGAATAGACGCACGCATACATACATACATACATACATACGTATTAAAACAAGTGAATAACTTCTAACTAGGTACATATTGCATGCAACTTACCAATCTTATTTCAATTTCAGCATCGATTCGTGTGCGCATCTTGCGATTGGTTTTACCAAAGACGGGCGTACAAACTAGTTCGTCGATATCGCTGGCACCCATGGCGCACACCACACCATCACCATCCAATAGTGCGCCTTCAGCGTTGGCGGCATCACATACCGACAAACCATCGGCCGAGGTGAATGAGCGTGGCGAATGCGGTGAATGGTAGGCGAGGGCGGCAGGTGTTGGCCTCACTCTGGCGGCATCCTCGTAAAGAACGCGGACACTGGGCGGACGTGTGTTGGCGGTGAAGAGCTCCTTGCGAAGCGACTTGTCGCACTCGAAATGCGTTTTACGCTGCGCGAAAGTTAAGAGGTCGCTCTCAGCTGGAAGTAGATTGAGGAAATGAATGAGGTTAACAATTTAGTACGCAAAATAGGAGGTATGTAGATGAAAATATGCTTATGTAGTTAAATTAATTAAAGCAGCATGAGATTTTTTACGAATGTACATATAATAATACAAATTTGTGGCGCTTATAGAAGTAGAATCTTTAGAGCAATGCTGATTTGTGAAATCATATATAAATACAAGTACAAGTATATACATACATACGTACGTCGTTCCTGGTAGTTTAATAGGTAGCTACATATATGAAAAAAAATATAAACGTATGCACTAGGGATGTGCAATTAATCGGTTAAATAATTCTTTAATTAATCATAATCCTGATTAATATAGAAAAAAATTTTAATCAAATCCTGAGTAATTACTGTTTACTCAAAGAAAAATTAATTGAGATCTGAGTAACTTGGCTCATTTATTTTGAGTTGGCTTTGAAAGCAAATGAAATTTTTATAATATTAGAGAACCATATTTTTCTTATGAAGGAAAATAAAATGTCAAACG